CCCGGCCCCGCCATTGATTTTTAAAATTAAGATATAATTCACATACCATAAAAATCCATCCTTTTACGGGCCGGCCAAGTGGTGCGATGGTTAAGAGCTGGCTTGGGACGCCAGAGGGCCCCGATTCGGATCCCACATATGAGGGCCAGTGACACTGCCCTCTACAGCTAAGATGCTGAACAACAGCTCAACCTGGAAGTGGGCTGCTGTGAGTCCCGGTGACAGCGTAGGCTGCAGCCCCTGCTGCAGTGGGTTGCCATAAGCTACCGTGTGTGGCCAGCAGCCAGCGTGAGCGGCCGTCCGGAAGCCGGCTACTGATCTGCCTCGCCCAGGAAGAGCGCAATGATGGTGCCAACTTGAACCAGTGAAGCAACCTCCTCCACAACTAGACTGAAGAACAAAAGGACAGCAACTTGTCTGTTCCCCTTCCCCCCAATTCCCCAGCACTGTTCCCATCCCCCCAATTTCCCAATAAAAATCTTACCCCAAAAAAATCAATGACATTCCTCTATAACCAACTGGGAAATTAACAGAAAATTAGATAGCCTTCTCAAGAGCGATAAAAACTGTACAGTATCTAGGAATTAATCTAGTGAAGAATGCTGAGAACTTTCCGGAGATGTCAAATAAAAACAGACCCAGACTAAGATAAGAAGAAACCTATTCAAAAAGACCATTGCAGTAGGGACTTCAGAAATCTGCAAGCATCCAAAAATCAAACAAAAAATGTATTGTTTTTCTATGGTAAGAGGGGTTTGTTTCAGTAAGGGGAAGTTGGGTAGATGTGGAGAAGTAAGTAACCAAGGAGGTTAGACAGGAAATTTGTCTGCCTGAGGTCAGCTGTTTCTCAGGAGAAACTGACAAGGAGGCATGTTTCACTGTTCCGTGCTGGTTGGGAGTTGGGGTGAACTACATACCGCCAGGCTCTGTAGGGAGGAGAGAAGCCTGAGTTCGTTCAGGGTAAAACAGAGGTAAGAAATGAGCAAACATGAACACTCGGCCAGAGAAAATGCTAGACTTTTTGTTAAAGGACAGCCTGAATAAATGCCTGATTTGTGGGTGACACAATTTGACATTGTCATTCCCTTCGCACTCTAAAATGTCCCACCATGAGAGCTGATCATTCATCTGTTTGGTTCAATGTCATGTCCACAGTTGTTGAACCGTCCCTGACATCTGGTCAGCTCTTGATAAAAATACATCCTTAAATATATTTTATTTTAGAGGCCAGCCGAGTGGCTCAGTTGGTTAAGAGTCTGCTTCGGAGCACGAGCTCTGAGCAGCAGGGCTGCTGGTTTGGTTCCCACATGGGCCAGTGACGCTGCACCCTCTACAGCTAAGGTGATGAAAAACAGCTCGACTTGGAGCTGGGCTGCCGTGAGTGGCTGTCAACAGCGTAGGCTGCAGTGGGCTGCTGGAAGCTACTGTGAGTGGCCAGCAGTCGGCATGAGTGGCCAGCTGCTGGCGTGGGCTGCCATGAGCCGCTGTCCAATGGTTGGCGACTGACTGCCTCAGCCCTGGAGGAGCGCAATAATCATAATACCAACTTGGGCCAGTGAAGTGACGTCCTCCACAACTAGACTGAAGAACAAAAGGACAGCAACTTGTCTGTTCCCCTTTCCTGATTTCCCAACTCTGTTCCCCTCCCCCAATTTCCCAATAAAATCTTTTTAAAAAATTTTTTTTCATTTTAATTGAGCTATAATTGACATATAACATTGTATAAGTTTAAGGTGTACAATGTATTGATTTGATATATATAATTACACTTATATATTGCAATATAATTATCACCATAGTCTAAGCTAACATCTCCATTGTGTTGCATAATTATAATTTCTTCTGGTGGTGAATATAAATACATTCATTGGAAAAGAATACCAAGGATACTAACTGCATTGGTCTGGGATGGGGATGGAGCACTAATAGTTTTTTAGAGCTCCCAGATGATTCGTATTAGAACCACTGATCTGATCATGTTGCAGCAGGAATGGGTCAGGGGGTCAGCGTTGGGATCTGTCTCTTTAAGGAGGATTTGTTTTCTCTGCTCTGATCCTTTCTGGTTCAGTTCCCCACCTCTCCACCCCGCTTTCTCATCAGCCGAAACCATTTCACCAGCCAAGAATGTGAACAATATTTCACATATTTTCAGTTCTCACTTAATCCCATTTAATGCTTAGCATTCATTGCTGGCAGGCAGGCTATCTATTACAGCTCATTTGAACTCCCTCCCCAAGTTTAACCCACTCCAAACTGCCACCCCCTTTACAAAATGCAAACTCTTCTCAAGAGATGAAGGAGCAGAGGTCAAGAGGGGCCTAGCCTGGCAGGCCCTGTAGCCAAGATTTCAGAGGGTGATGGAGGACTATTGAAGGGCTTAGGGAGACACATCACTAGATGCTCATTTAAAAGGTCCCCTGGCTGCTAAATGCATTTTCTACGGAGTAGTCAGCAGCATATTCTTTATTTTCTGCTTCTCCATATAGAATGTAAGCTCCATAGAAGCAAGGAGTTTTCCAATACATGAACATGGTATATATCTCCATTTATTTAGATCTTTAATGTCTCAGCAGTATTTTGTAGTTTTCAGTGTAGAAATCTTGCATATCTTTTGTTAAATTTGGTCCTAAGTAGTTTTGGTTTTAATGCTACTGTAAAGGGGATTATTTTCAATCTCATTTTACAATTGCTTCCAGCTAGGATATAAACATAAAATTGATTTTCGTATATTGATCTTGTATCCTGCAACCTTGCTAAATTCACTTACTAATTTTAGTAGTTATTTTGATTGCTTAGAATTTTGTACATAAACAATCGCATCACAGTTTTACTTCTGTTTGATATATATGCCTTTTATTTATTTTTCTTGCCTTATTGCACTAGCTAGGACCTCCAATACAGTGTTGATTAGAAGTGATGAGAGTGGAAATCCTTGCTTTGTTTAGTCTCAGGGGGAAAGCAGTCAATATTTCATCACTAAGACTGATGCTAGTTGTAGGTATTTTGTAGATGCGCTTTATTACATTGAGGAAGTTCAGGACAGAGAATTTTGTCTGTTTTGTTTACTGATTTAAACCAGATGTGTAGTATAATGCTGTCAGAGAGCAAGTGCTCAGTAAATACTTGTTGAATGAATGAATAAATTAGCATAAACTGCACTGCATGGTGGCTAGTAATTTGGCATTGGACTTACCTAATTAGCAGTGTGATTTAAGGCAACTGATTTAACCTTTCTCTTCCTCTGTAAAATGGGGATAATAATAGTGCATATCACTTAGTGTTAATTTGAGGATTTAATGAGAGTATCCATATAAAACGCAAGAGCCAGAATCTGACACATGATTAGTGCTCAATAAACATTAACTTTTATTACCTCACTGCTCTGAGTCTCATTTTTTCCTCTATAAAAGAGAGACTATTATAATCCTTAACTTCTATGGTTACAATGAGGATTAAATGACATTATACACATAATATACCTAGCACAATTCCTGGCACAGAGAAAGCCATTGGTAAATGTTTGCTATTATTACTTACCAAGTCCCCTACCTATATATTAGGTTGGGAGACATAGAGATGCGTTGATCAAGGACCTCGTCCATTGGAAACTGACAGACTGACGGCAGAGACAGATAAGTATAGAGATCGTAATGACACAGAGTAGAAAAGAGGGTGAGAATTAATAAAGGGAAACCTCACTAAAATAAAGTCGGGACGCCAGAAGGGGGAGCTCTCACACAGTACCGTTCCATATCAATTACCGGAAGAACGGTCAATTTACAGACAGAACCCCACAGAAGAAAATTCAGCAGGAAAGAATCATCAATTATAGGCCCCACCAGGAAAAGATGTATTGCGTCTCCTACAAGGAATCCACCACCCCAGCAGCTCAGCTAATGAGAAACCGTCAACTCCCTGACCTTTTGTTTTTCTCCAACAGTTTTGTTTTTGTTTTTGTTTTTTTCAAAACAACCCTTCCCAACGTCTTCCTTTTTCTCCATAAAATAATGTTTCTCTCCTTTGTTGGACTTGTCTATGGATTTTCTCTAGCTGCTTGCCTCAAATTGCAATTCTTTGCTGTTCCAGGATAAAAGCATTTTTGGCTGATAAAAAAAAAAGTTTTATTTTTAAGGTCACGAGAGGATATATAAAGCCATGTGTGGATTCAGAGGCAGAGAAGCTGGAGGCTGAAGTTTGCCAGTGGGATCAGGTCCTTCTGGACTCAGATATAGGCTTAGACCTAAAAGGAAGCCACAATTGTTTATAACAGGGACAACTGGAAACAATCTAGGGCCTGGAATCACTTGTGGTACATCTTTATAATGCATCAGTATCAACCATTAAACTCCATGCAGTGGAATAGGAGATGGGAACTGGCCGGCTAGGGCACAGGGTGGAAATTACTTTTCACTAGACCCTTTTGTACCTTTTGCATCTTGTACCATGCTCAAAATAAATATATTTTTAAAAATTATGTTGTGGAAAAATAATGCCACCGGTCAATTTTCATGACATACTGGTATGTGAAAAAAAAAATTTATCAAATGGCATCTCATTTTACAACTGCACAGAAAAAAGAAGGGTTAGAAATATATCAAAATATTAGCAGTAACCGCTGACTTGGTGGGATTAATGGTAAGCTTCACTTTCTCCTCTGGACTCTTAGCGATTTTGCAAAGGTTCTATATTAAGAGTTTTGTTTTTGTTTTTTGGCCATTGGAATTAAAATTATTAACAATAACTACATGTCCCGGCAGACATCGAGCCTGCAGCCTCTAAAGACTGGCCTTCCCCTGGCGCAGTGATCGCTGGGATTTGTAGTTCATTAGCAGAAGCAAGGTGGGACGCGTAGTACCGGCACAGATGACAGAGGCGGGAATCACTGCCATTCTGACCAATAGACGGTGTGCACTGGGTTTGAATGGCGCACAAAAAACCAATGGGTGGGTCGCTAGGTATGAGTAACGTGTGCTTCAGCCTACTGGCGGTCTGTAGGGCGGGGCGGTGCGCGGCGGTCGTAGTGCGAACCATGGGAGGCGGCTGGTGGTGGGTTCCAGCCGCCCGCCTGGCGCGACTCCGCTTCCGAGGGGTAATGCTGCCGCCTCCGCGGTCCCGGAGTGGGGGCGCCCGGGGATCCTTCGCTCCGGGCCAAGGCCCCCGCACAGGGGCTTCGCCGCCCCCTGTGTCCGAGCTGGACCGCGCAGACGCCTGGCTCCTCCGGAAGGCGCATGAGACAGGTCTGGGGCTGGGGCAGGGGTCTGCTCGAATGGAGAGGGGGTTCGGAATAGCCGAGGTGTTCGCCCACGAGAGTGGGAGATAGGGGTGGGGCTTCTGCTGGAAACAGGGCCTGGGCTCAAAGGTAAAAGGGCTTCCGTATACACGCAGGGAAGCGCTGGCTGCAAGAGCGCAGTGTGTCCACATAGGAGAAGGGCTTGCGGATGGGACCGAGGGTCCGAGAAGCTGGTCGGGTTAGGACAGGCAGCCTGAGAAGAATTGAGCTGTCTGGACGAGAGGGGCTTCCAAAGAGTGCTCGGGGTAGGAGAGTTATTTACAAGAGGGGTCCACGTTGGAGGGGCCAGTTCCGATCGAAAAGCCGACCACTCTGCATAAGGTGAGAGTGTGGATCTCACGGAAGATGGGGAAGTTCCGGATTGGAGGAGGGAACAACCGATAGAAGAAAAGCTCTGGGCTGATTGGAGGGCCAGGTGATCCAGGCTTCAGGGGGCGGGGCCTTATGTCAGGATTGGAGAGGCTGGGGCATCTATTAGTATACGGGATCGGGTAGGGGTAGGGGGTTTGTAACCCAACTAGTCCGCTATTGGATGTGAATGATATCAAGCCCGGGTGGGGAAAAATGTTGTGCCCGAGGTCTGAGAAAGAAGTAAGAGCGCAGCCCATGGTGTTGACCAAGATGACCTCTTGGGGTCTTCCTGTCCTCAGATTTAGGTTCTGCAGTTTTGGTCCTAGATTTTCCTGCAGATTCTGCGGACTGTCTTGAGTCTTCGGTGTTGCCGAGTTTGGGGAGAGGGTTCAGAGATGGAGACAAGAGGGTTTGGTGAGGATAGGGTTAGGTGGGGGCCCCCTCAGGACCTGGTGGGAATATTTGGAGTGGGATGGGGTGGTGGGATGACTAGAAGCCCCTCAGTTTGACTGTCTGGGCTGAGGACTTTGGGGGCAGGGTTTGGGCTGATACTGCTTCTTCCCCCTTCCTCCAAGCTTTCCTCTCCTGGTTCCGAAATGGCCTCCTGGCATCAGGCATTGGGGTCATCTCCTTCATGCAGAGTGACATGGGTCGGGAAGCCGCCTATGGTGAGTGCAGACCTCTATTCTTGCCCCCACCAGGGAGTGTGGCTGCTTCCTCCCCCACTGGGAAATGTAGAGCCCCCACCCTGCCCTCGGTGAGTGTAGACTCTCTCCTGCAACATCCTCCCCAATAGTAAGTGCAGAGCCCCTCATTCTTGCCCCCATCAGAAGCTGTCATCCTCGTTGGTGTCGACCTTCCACCCACCCCACCCCACCCCTACCTGAGTGGGTGGCCCAGGGTATGGCTGTGGGTCCTCCCCTCCAATCTGACTTTTTGACAAAGATGAGGATTCTGGTTCCAGCCGCTACCCCTCTAATCCTATCTTTGCTCTTAGACTAGCCCCCCACTCCTCCTCTGATCTGGGACCTCACTTCCAAGTTCTAGACATCCCCTTCTGATATGTTCTCATGCCCGCTGACCTTGGCTCTGTACTATCCCTGGTCCCTGCCCTGCCCATGAGTTTGCCTCATCCCTCTTCTAAGTCCACCTCAACCCCTGAACCCCCCGTCTCTGGCATCTGCCCCCCTGATCCTGGCCTTCCCCACACCTGCCAGCCCCAGCCTGGGACCCTAGGCCCGCCCCTCCATTGACTGTGGCCTCTGCCCTCTCCCACAGGCTTCTTCCTACTGGGCGGCCTATGTGTGGTGTGGGGCGGTGCCTCCTACGTGGTGGGCCTGGCGGCGCTGCGGGGGCCCATGCAGCTCTCGCTGGGGGGTGCTGCCGCGGGCATGGGCGCTGTCCTGGCCGTTGGTCTGCTCTGGGCTTGTGCCGTTGGCCTCTACATGGGCCAGCTGGAGCTGGACGTGGAACTGGTGCCGGAGGATGATGGGACGGCCACTGCTGAAGGCTCCGATGAAGCAGGCCGGCCCCCACCAGAGTGAGCAGCAGGCCCGCGGGGAAATGGCCGGGCATTGGATGGCCAGGGCCTGAGGACCGGGACATTAAAACCTGACCCTTTCTTCGCTCCATCTTCCGAGTGGTGGTTCCTGTGACGGGAAGGCTGGGCCTGCAGTGGGTGGAGGGAGGGAAGTGGGAAGGGGCAGATGGCCTGGGAGGTGAAGAAGACAGGTGGCGATAACTAAAAAGGAAGGACAGAGGAGTTCCACGGCCCCTAGAGACCAAGCCACAGACTGCGAGCAGGACTTTAATTCTCAAAGAGCGCCGATGGAGCCGAGTCCTGTTCCTTGCCCCCTTGGTGACCTGTCCCCATCCCCCAGGGTCCAGCTCTGTAGGTGGCTCTGCCAGTCCTCAGTCCCCCTTCCGCTGCATCCTGGTGCCTGTGGGCCCTGGGTAGGGCAGGCCCAGGGTGGGGTAGAATGCCTCTGGGAGGGTGGGGCCTGGGCCCAGCCTCTGCAGATGTGGGTACATGAGGCCCAGCTCCGTGGGGCCATAGCGGATGGTGCCAGGCGTGCACAGGCCCCGCACGACGGGGGGCAGGAGGCCTGCGTGGAGCAGGGAAGGTGGGGGGTCCCCAGGAGGCACCAGGCCCCATGGTCGCATGAGGTCCTGCTTCAGGGCCCCCGCCCGGATGACAGAAGTGAACTCGGGCCGTGGTGGGGCTGGATGGGCAGGTATCTCCTCGTCCCCGCTGTCCTCTGGGTCTTTCGTCTCTCCCGGGCCAGGCTCCACTTTGATGCATTTGCCCCGGGTGTGGGGGGCCTCATCCTTGTCCAGGGGGGCAGCCTGCTTCCCTTCTGCTGGAGGCACGAGCTCTGGAAGATTTTGAAGGGCACCGTTTGTGTGCGTCCCAGCCCTCAGTCTTCCCATCTATGCAATGAAGCTGAGCTCAGCGGGTCTCCGCTGGGGTGGTTTTGTCCCCCAGAGGACATTTGGAAGTGGCTGGAGATATTTTTGGTCCTCACAACTGGGCAGGAGAGTGCTTCTGGCATTTGGTGGTTAGAGGTCGGGGATGCAAAGTACCCTACAATGCACAGGACAGTCCCCCAAACAAAGAATTGCCTTGTCCCAAATGGCAGTAGAGCGGAGATTGAGAAACCCAGTTTAGATCAGGGCAGATACAACTTTCCTCTATGACAGAAATGTGCCATATCTGTGCCATCCAACGCATTGGCCACTGGCCACATACGGCTACTGAGCCCTTGAAATGGGGCAAGTATGACTGAGGACCTGAATTTTTAGTTTTAATTTTAATGTAATAGCCGCTTGTGACTAGCGGGTCCTAGATTGGACAGCACAGGTCCCAGGGGTCGCTCTGAGCCTCCCAGGGGTTGGAGTGGGAGGTGGGCTCACCTGCGGGCTCTGGCTCTGGGCTGGACGTGTCCTCACAGGCCACGCTGGCTGGAAGCTGGAAGGCATCCAGAGGTATCTGGCCACCCTCAGCTTGGCTGGGACAAGACAGGTGGTGTTAGGAGCCAGGGGTCCTGCATGAGAGCAGACTCCCTCCTGCACCCCTGTCTTCTGAGTGTAGACTCCCCCCCTCACCAGTGAATGTAGTGCCCCTATCCCAAGGCACTTAGGCCTCATAACTGGACCCCCAAACTCCAAGTTGTCTCCTAGCCCAGCTTGGCCCTGTCTCCCGAGGCCAGACTTGTACAGCCCATGGTCCTTGGACATCACCACCTAGGTATCCCACAGACACCTCACGCGCATCTGACCTTAGTGCCTTCCTTCTGAACTGCTTTCCTCTCAGGGACCTAGATCCAGGCCCAGCAAAGCCAGAGACCTGGGCGACAGCAGATGGCCACCTCTCCTTCGCCTCCATTGCCTGGCACCTCCCAGGCCCTGCCCCAGCCGCCTCCTTGGTCTAGCCCCCGCCTTATCCCTTAGACCTCCCACTTCACAGCAGCCAGCGGGGTCTTTCTGAAAAGCAGACTCGACTGGGATTCTCTCCAGCTTTAAACCCTGCCATGGCTCCCCAGTGCCCCCAGGATCAGGTGCAGACCCTCAACCTACGCCTGAGGCCGTTTCAGACCTGCCTCCCTCGCAGATCCTGTCACCCCCTTCCCCTCTCCCTTCTCCCCTGCAGCAAGGGCATTTCGCCTCCAGGCCTTTGCGCTCTCTGTCCCCCTTTCCCCTCTTTTTTCCAGGCTTGTCCCCTTCTAGGAGTCCCCCCTCCCCCCGCAAGAGCTCCCACCCTGAGGTGCAGAGAGACAGCAGAGGCTTCTGGAGGGGGTTCCAGCCCCCTGTGGGATGGGTGGGGCAGCCCTCACCTGAGCACGTAGCTGACCCAGAGCACATGGCGCTCCCCAGGGCTCTTCCCACTCACAGCCACGGTGGCCACAGACTGCAGCCACACAAAGCCCCCAGCACGTTGCAGCCAACGGTAGTACCCAGTCATCACCTGACCCTTGTCCAGCACTGGGCCCAGCCCAGGAACCGGAGGGATAGAAAGAGATGGGGCGGGGTGGGGGAGGGGTGAGACGGACAGAGGAAGAGACAGATGGACAGGAGAGGCAGAGAAGGAGAGAGAGGAGGACAGGGAGATGGAGGGAGGGAGACAGGTGCAGAGATGGGAGACAGGAACAGAGACAAGAGACACGGTGCCAGGGGAACAGAAAGGGTGAGACAGTGGGGAGAAAAGAAGAGCAAAAGTACAGAGGGAAACAGAATTAGAAAGACGCCTAGGTAACCGGCATCGTGGCTCCTGGATCTTAAAGGATGGGTCAGAGGCCCCACCGCTGCCCTCCTCCCAGCCCACATCTGAGCTGCTGTTCAGAGCCTCCTTGCTGCTCTTCTGTGCTGAGTTGAGCCCCTGGAGTTGGCAACAGGAGGGACTGTGGTCAGTCCTGAAGCAGGACTTCCAGGGAGCGGGGCATTGGGGGTACTCAGGTCTGGGGTGCAGGTAGGCAGGGGTAGGGGTTCTCACGGTCCAGGTGGCTTTGGCGGATCCTGGCTGCATCCTGTCCGTGAACAAACTGGTAGCAGCTGCGGCCCACAAGCTCTGAGGGCCCCAGGTCCATGTGGTCGCTGACTCTGAGGGCAGGGGCAAAAGGGAGGAGGAGAGGAGGGGCCCGAGACCATGGGGCGGGGAGAAGAGGCAGGGTTGGCTCTGGAATCACCTAGGCTTCCCACCCTTACGCTGGAGTGCTTGGAGCCTCAGTTTTCGTCTCTATAAAACTGGTGTAATCATAGTGTCCCTGCCATAGAGTGGCTCTGGGCATTCAAGCAGATGGCAGTCCTGGGCGTGAGGTGGGCCGGGCACTCCAGAGGAGGCTAAAGTGAGGGGACTATTTCACTATTTCATTTTCCCCCACTTCGTGGTGCAGGAGTGGATGAGGGACCAGAGAGGCCTGGGCGAGATGGGATCAGGGAGGGGCGGAGTTCTGCCCAGGGCACGCCCCCTCGCACCCCCCCACCCCCGCAGGGAGGGCTTGGGCCTCCATCAGCACAGTCCCTCCTCCATCCCCAGAGGCCCCGCCCTGACCGCCACACCTTGGCTCCCTTCTTCCAGTAACCCCTGCCCTCTGCTGCTCTTCAGCATCCCGCAGGCTCCCCAGTGCCCCTCAGTGTCCCAGCCCACACCCCCCACGTCTCCTGTGCTCCCCCATTGGCCCACTTTAGCACTACCCCTGGTACCTGCTCTCACAAGCAAGGATGGTAAGACCCAGGCTGAGGCGGAAGACTATCATGTGTCCGTGTAGTGGCAACTCAGTCAGTGGGGCCGGGGGCAACGTGTGGCCGAGGGCCACGAGGCCGAGGGCGCGGGCCCGAAGGCGGCCGGTCACGTGGATAACCTGTAGGCGTGGTTGGAGGCGGGGCTAAACGGGATTGGAGGACTAAGTGGGGGCGGGGCGGTGGCAGGAGGACCTTAACCCCAATGCGGGGCCTGGCTTTGGCTGTCACCCACAGGCGCTGGGACACAGGTACACAATTAGCAGGACTCAGGAACACTCCCCAGGCAGGCAAAGGGATGTGGGAATCAAGAGACTGGGACAAAGAGCTCACACCCACCTTGTACCCAGAGGCCTTGACGTGCAGTCCCCTCTTGGTGAGGGTGGATTTCATGCGGATGAAGAAGGAGCGCTCCTGGACCCTGGAGGAGGGGATTACCGCGGTGGGGCTGGCCTCTGGGATAGAGAGTGAGGAAGGTTATGGAATCCTTGGGAGGAAACACACATAGGCCACCCCATCCCATGCAGGGCTAGCCAGACACAGGGTCATGGCCACAGCCAGAGATCCACCTAACAGTCCTACAAGCTCACTGACATCCGAGCAGCAGCCATCCAAGTCTTTCTAAAGCTCAGCTCTGTCCCTGCCCCTCCCCTGTCCTGAAGCTGCCATGGCTCCCTAGGACCGGTGAGAGAAAACCCAGCTCCTCATCAAGGCCTAAAACTTTGGCAAGAACTGCCTCCTGCTGCTGAAACCATCTCTAGCTACACCCTCCAGGTCTCAAGTGAGATATCTCCTCCTCCAGGAAGCCCTCCCTGACCCTCAGTCTGAGTCAGATACCCCTCTGGGGTCTCCCATCCCAGCCCTGCACACTCTGAGCCATCACCATTTGGGAATGAGTCAATATCCCTCACTGGACTGTGAACCCTGGGAAAGTGGCACTGGGGGTGTTGTCATGACTGTCTCCCCAGCCCTGCCCAGCACAGGGCTGGGCATAGAGCAGGGCCTCAGGGTACAGCAACAAATAAGACTCACAAATACATATTATTCTATAAACCCCTATGACACAGTCATAAATATGCTCACACCCAGATGATCCTGTGCCTCAAAATTTGGTGTAACCATAATCACAGTCCCCAACAGTCCCACATGTGTCACAAACATCTTCCCAAACTTTCAAGCACTGCTGACAACTCACATGTTTTTGGTGTAAAGCAAGTCCCTACAAGAAAATCTTGTTTACAGGAAAGTTAACCTCATAGTCCGTCAACATCTCAGAGCTAAAAGAAACTTTCAGGGTAATCTCCAACACCCTCCCTCCCCAACATGGAGTGGAATTTTCCAGTGGAGAGAGGGTTAGAAGACAGACTGCAGAGCCAGACAAACCTGGGCTGGAGTC